GGTGTAGGTATTCTGCCTAGCTTTGCTGCCCTCTCACTATGTGACTTTACTTAAGAAGCCTGTCATCTTTTCCCGACTAATGTCCTATGTGCCAGACTCAATGGACTTTGGATGTCTGTGGCCAAATTTCTGGTCCCGTGTCACTTCATTGCTCTAAATTTTAGTTCAAGTATACACTTCTACTTCAGACTGCTCACCTATTTCCAGAGTTCTTCCTGAGAACATATCCTGTCTGCAATGAGCAATCTTGGTCACAGCTGTTCTGGTCAGGTAGTCTTCCTTTCCTCTCAAACTAGAGGGGGGTTCACTCAACATTTAATCACTCCATTGCAACTGAATATCCACTGTCAGGACACATTTAATAGTCACTTAGCCTCAGAAGTCCCATAGAGGTGAGGCCCTCTTATGAAGAACCTAGATTCTTCCTTAGCTGGGTTTTTATTTCCCAGATATGCTCATGACCACAGCATGGGCTACGATAATTACAATTCCCCTCAAGAGAAACTGTGCCCATTACATTGGATCATACGAGCCAACCCAAAGCTGCACCACTGAGCTCTTCTAAATCCCAAGTTCAGTTACTCAACTTGCAGGGCTTGCTGGGCCCCACAAAGCGGCAAACTTGACCAAGAGAGAGAGTGGCAGTTAACATTTACATAACAGCCTGGTGGCTCCTAACCACCATCAATAAACCTTTAGGTTTATTTTCTGTTAAAAGGGAAATTCTGGGTTTTGTTATTATGAAACCCAGCTGGGGCCGGGGGAAGTAAATGAGCATCCTTGATTCAGTTAAGTCATTTCTGAAAGATCTGAGTATGTCACTAATATTACAGTAACAGAGTTTATCTTTCTGGGTTCTAGCCTGCCAGTGCTGATTTTTCCTGATGATAAATTTAGCAGCTATTTTTCCTACTTCCTAACATTTAATTAGCAAAAGGAAAATACTAAAATAACGAAGAAAAAGCTTATGCAATACAAAGCGGGAGGCTTGGAGGTCAGGGACTGTAAGACGAAGTCAGATTCCTTAGAAGAGACAGAAGACAAAGGGGTAAACCCTGGCACCTCAGTTATGTGGGTGCCCTGGGAGGTGGGCAGGACAGCGTAGCAGGATGTCGTCCAAGCCAATGACACAGCAGCTCAGCAGGAGGAACTGGAAAGAATTCCCAAGCCCTCAAGAACAGGTCAGCCTCAGGACACACTTGGACACTGCTTCCTCGGAGCTCAGCATATACAGAGCCCTGTGAGAACCTAGAGTCCAACTCTGGACAAGGTGAGAGGAGGAAGTTGTATCTCACTGTGGCCTCAGACAGCCATGATCTGAGGACAGCTTTAGGTTAGCACCAACCCTGGGGCCCCTTCCAGGGATGGTTGGGGCTACCCGCTGTAAGAATGTATGCCAGAGGCTGGGGCGAGGGTGGCTTTAGTATAGTGTCCACCTGAAAATCATTTCCGTGTTGTTCTGACAGATCAAGAAAGCTCAGAGCAAATCCTTTGACTCTTGAATCTCTAAAATTTCACGTTTTCTTGGCCCTCTCCATGATGTCCAGACAACAGATTTTGAACATGTAAAACCGATATATTCTAGGCTTTCCCAAAAGTTTCCAAATTTTTGAATAATATTATAATGTAATATTTTCTCCAGAACACTCAGTGAAGAGCTGCAAATTTAGAAGTGACAGCCTCAGGCTTTTCAGAGAGTGTAGTAGTAACAAACTGAAAAATAACAGAATCTTGTTACTGTGTCTCACAGGTTCACTTCCCTGTATGAGGGAAGAGATCATGCCAGTGTGGCTCTGTAAGATTACAGACTGTCACATTGTCACTGACTTTCAGTGTCATTCCAAAGTGCAAACTCTGTGAGAACCAAGGGTCAGTGATGAAGTAACAGTTCTAGCAAGTGATTCTGTTCTCCCAGGGAGAAAGAAGAAACTTCCCTGTCCCATTCTATGAGCCGAGGACCCCTGGGGCCCTGTAACAGCTCCTACTGAATGCCGAATTGTTGTCTGGAGAATGAACAAATCCCCTTGGACACACCATTTCTCAGATGCATGTATATGCACCTGTGATCTAAACTAGAGTTTCATGTGAAGTACCCCAAAAGTTACATGGCTTTTTATCATTATATTTTGTATTCAATGACAAAATCCCCAAAATATTATCACTAACTGGAGAGAGCTGGATGTCTTGACATGTATTCAAAAAAAGGTTGTGATCCCGGCTTTAGAGATTTCAGGGGCAGCCATTTTATTTGATATATTTTTGACACTCAGCATCTAGGAGTAGTTGGCCTGACTGAAAGTAACATAAATGTCCCTACCAAACTCAACCAGTAGCAGAATTGTATTAATCACAAATAATGCACTTATATTTATTGCAATAAATGTTAGAAGAAAAGTCATGAACCTACAAAGGAGAGTTTGCGGCCTTTGACCAAATACCCAGAGGCACAATCCACAGGAAGTAGTATTAAACTATAAAATGTGCAAAGTTTTTCACATTAAAACTTTGGTCTTCACTGGCTATTTGCAGAAATGGCAAAGACTGTACGGAATACCAGGGCTCACTTCCACCAAAGTTTTTGTTTAATATTAATTTTAATTTAACACTCCTGCCCCCCACCCCCAACACACGCACATACAGCTCAGAAGTCACCTCATGGCCTGGCTCAGTAGGGTGTATGCCCCTTTATCCGTCTGTTATCAAACGCTATTACCTATTTCCTTATTGAAATGATTTCTAGTGTTTGTCAGCTAGAGCAGTCAGGCGAATAACCTTTCTAATGGAAAGACAGTGATCTAGAACTGGCAAGAGGTTGCTTTTTTCTTACTTTTTCACCCCTCCCCTAAAACCATCTCAATCAGTACTCCCAGCGTCAGGGGAGGGGAGGGCAAGATCTTTCAGAAAACTTTGGGCATAAGATGATAATAAATCCTGATTCAGATTCTCACCTTTAGTATCAACAAATCATTAGTGAGAAAGATAATAAATGCCTTTCTCGGAATCAGTTAAAACCAATTTACACATCAGCATGCTCATAAAGACACACACCAGTACAGGAAACGCGCAAAAAAGAGAAATTACTATTCAATCTCAGATACACAAATATACTTAAGAAAGAGAAGTTTTATTAGGGCAATTTCACTTTATTTTTCCATACAGCAAAGTCAACTACTGCAGTAATAATAAAATAAGCATAAAACAAATTGCAGCCCAAGACAAAATACATAATTGTAAGCAACTACAAGCAGAAAGTAAGTTGTGATTACATAATAGTAAAACCAAGCCCATTTGCCCTTTCAGCAGATGAAAGTGGTAAGGTTGCTGATAAGTGCAATGTTACGAACCAGCTGGAGTGAGGGCTGGATGCATTAGTTCATTCAACAAGTGCCCATGGTCACATTTTGATTTTTGAGTGCTTCTGAGTTGCAAATTAAAACCATGAAATTTGAACAGTTTTATTTTTTTTTTTCACCTGCTGAAAGGACGTGGCTCCTATAGCAATTAAAAAACAATCACATAACAACTATAGCTACGGTGTGCTGTTTGGTTTGCCTGTGTACGGTTTCGATTTTTGTGAAAGTCAATACTTGTTTTGAAGTTTTGTTTTGTTTTTGTGAACAATAAACCACTGAAATTGGCAGAAACTGATTTGAATAATATATGTCCTTAGTTATAGTTCTTTCTCTCTTTTTTTTCTGTTGAAGTTTTACACATGCAGTAGTTTTGAAAAATGTAAGGAATATTTGATCCATGATTTCACCTTAATGGTCGAAGTACCTGCTATTTTTGGTAATGATCTTCAGGCAGATTTGGCCCAATGGAGTTTTTGTCAGTCATGAGATTTTTGAAAGGATGGCATATCTTTCCAGCTGAAAAAATCCTGGCAAACTACAAGCTGTCCACAAAAAAGCAAAGCGATGTGTTTTAAAGGGTATGGAGTGCTAACTCTGTGCCACTTTTGCAAGCAATTTTGCTCAGTCTGTCATTTTATTAGCCTTAACAAAACTCCTTGTAATTATAGACGTTTTTATTCAAAATAAGATCTTACTATTATACAGGTTTCTCTCTTTTGACTATATACAGAAGTGCAAAAAGTCAACCTTCTCTCTAGACGTCCCAACATGCTAAACTGCAGCATAATCAACCCTCAAGAGTTTGCACACACACTATAATTCTCATTACGTAAACTTTGAGTATTTGGATTATCAACAAAAAGTCCCTTGTTCTATTTATTGATTATGCAGCTTATTTATAACAAGGCCTGATATTCAGGGATTTCAAAAATATTAAACAATACTTTAACATTTGAAATGGATACAGTAGAAAATAAATTTTATTCTAATATCTAGGATCTAGATCTTCTTATAATAACTAATTACAAACAAAATAAATCATCAAAATATTACTCAATTGTCTGCCAGGATTGTTGCGATAGCAACAACTTAACTTCTTACTTAGCAATGATTATATATTTATAAGATATCCATATAAAAGATCTTTGTTCTTTTAATGAAAACTAGACAAGAACTAACAATGACTGACATTCTTACACTGTAATATTAAATCAGTAAAATATAAATCATTTAGTTAACAATACGAATATTCATATGACTCTACATGTAATTCAAAACTGATTATGTTATGAAGGAAAAACTACTTTTTTTTTTGTATTTTGAAAAATTCATCGGTAAAATCTAATAAAACAATAGTCTATAAACTGAAATGGTATTCAATTGTTAATAGAAAATGAAAATCTAATAAATGTAGGAAATGAAAAACTACATTTTAACAAGAAAAATAAGTAATATTCTATAATGTAACTAACTACAATAACATGTGAAGTCACCATTACTTTCTTAACACGATTGAAATTACATTGGTATGGGTTCCAACCCGTAATGTAATAATCTAAGGCTTTAATAGATGTACAGTACAATCAGTAAAATCAACACATCAGTCTTTTATATTAGAAAGCATCTCTCTCAAGCATAAAAACTTGCAGTAAACTTGGGAGTATGGAAAGTTCTAGAACTGAACTTTCACTTCTCCCATTCCATACTAGAACTACCAGTGACCTGGCCCCTACTTCAGCAATTTTTAGAACTGCCGAATAGAGCAAAAATATCCTTTACTAGCTGCAACATCCAAACCTCAAAAAAAGGAATTCCTTTGGATGAATCCATTCTTAAAAACTGAATGCACATCTATTTTTTTTTTTAATTTTGTAAAAGGCTTTCTAAGGCTATAAGCAGTTAATCTGAACAAAACAACAAAAAAAAAAGTCACATATAAAATTCACCCAAGTACTTAACCCGCCCAATTACTAGGTTAATTAAACATGTCCCAAGTTCATATTTTGGTTTATCATGCATCTGATGACAGTGCTGCTTTCTTCTTTGTTTAGAGTCACTATTTTGAATGTGACTGTGATGAAGCATCAAAGCAAACGTGAAACCATTTTTGCAAAGCATTTATAGTCTTCTGACTTTTGACAGAGGTTATAAATAGAAGCAAAATAATTTCCTCAAATACTTTTCTCTTGTTATCGTGTCTCAGAAATGGCATATCCCTTTTGAATAACATGTTATACAGTATAGTAGGCATAAATATTACACTACAATGCATTAAAATAATTTTATATATATCTATTATATATCTCTCCAGTATGTGTGAGTTTATCGGTATTGAGAGTTTGTGTTGTGCTGTCTATTGTTACTGTAAAGTTAAATGGGCCATTTCTGAGACAGCTTTGGTTTCAAAACAAAACAAACAAAAAAAAAATGGTGCCCTTTGACTGATTAGTTCTAGCAAATAAGCAACAAAATGTGGCTCTGAAAAAAAAAAATAACACTGAAGAAATAATACTCTAATTTGATGTACAGTCTATGGCACTTCATGAGAATCCTTAGCAACATGGTACTTAAAGCCATGATGTGCTTTAAAATATACACAGTTGTGGTTTCGCTTGGCACATTCATCTCTGTCAGATCCCTCCCTCACCACGTCTTACAATCTATTACATTAAAAATATTACTCTTAAACAAAAATGACTGTGCATGCACGCTCTCACCTATAATGGCAATTTTAAATACAAGGTGCACCTTTGTTATTTGTAAACCTTGAAAGAAATAAACTTATTTTAAAAAAATTATATCTTGGTCTACAGACGTACCAATACATAAGAGAATCATGGTTACACCATAGTCTGTCTTTTCAAGATGGCATGACTAGATAGGAAACTAATTAGGTATGCATCTATTAATGCATAACTCTGTGCTAGAAAAGAAAGACAATGCTGTTCTTTTAGACAGGAGTTTATCACCTCAGCACAAATATCAATTAAATGTACAAAGTGTATAGGCAACAGTGTGCAGTGGATTTCCATGTTGTCTTTTCTTCTGGTTAACATGCATTGTGTGGATGTCTTGTGGCTGAGGGATTTTTGTGTGTGTTGCTTGACGGTATATACAATATGGCTAATGACCTCATCCTTTACTCTAACCAAGCACACTGTCCTTTCCTCTTTAGTATGATCTACAAAGGAAAAAGAGATAATCTTTGTTAAAACACATACTATCTACAAGCAGTCTCCAATATACATTAACTATGAACATTTTGCTTGATTCAACAGTATTTTTACATGTATATTGTTCTATCTTCAGGCAGAAACAAAATCACTTCTCAGGTGCAAATGGATCTAAATTTGTCGTCTCTATGAGAGGGAAATGACATGCACAGCTTAATAAAATTACAGACTCTGCTTAAAAATTCCCCAGTACTAAGCTAACTGTGTAAAATACATCTGCAGAATCAAGGTACACAATGCAGTTAATCACTTCTTTAACGACAATGTTGCGGGACAGAATTTAAACTGACTTTACTTCTTTTTTTAAGTTTAATAGGTTTTGAGAATAAAGATCTGGCCTACAAATCCCTGAAGCAAGTTTTATTAAAGAAAATTCAGGGCGGCGCCTGTGGCTCAGTGAGTAGGGTGCGGGCCCCGTATACCGAGGGTGGCAGGTTCAAACCCGGCCCCAGGCCAAACTGCAACAACAACAAAAATAGCCAGGCATTGTGGTGGGCGCCTGGAGTCCCAGCTACTCAGAAGGCTGAGGCATGAGAATCGCCTAAACCCAAGAGCTGGAGGTTGCTGTGAGCTGTGACGCCACAGCATTCTACCGAGGGCGACAAAGTGAGACTGTCTCTAATTTAAAAAAAGAAAATTCAATGTCTTTAGGTTCTTGATGAGCATAGTACATATTTTTTTAAAACAAGTGATACCTTAAATGATGGTTTTGGATAACTCAAAGTTTGTGTGAGTTTTTTTTTTTTCTCCTAAAGCCAACAAAAATAAAAATCTTTCTTTATGAATTCAGAAATAATTCCCTATGAATGGAATTTTGATATTACAGTTACTTGTGAACTAACAGTTCCAGTTCTTACACGAAATTTATTTTCAATAGGGAAACTTTACATATTAAAAATGTGTATTAGAAGGTAACTTTGAAAACATATCACCATTTTGTTGACTCAAAAATCAGTTTAAATGTAACTTCTCACGAAAATCAATATTCGTTTATCAAGTGAAAAGAACACTGAGGCCGTGGGCGTCAATACAGTCACATCCACCGGTTTGCTCATTATGGACGGACTTACGGTCATTTGGTATTATTATTTTTTTAAGCTGGATTGTTACTAAGAAATAGAAGATAAAAACATATGCACGTAACAAACATACCCAATTCATGAAAAAAGCTTGAAAGAGACTTTTAAAACATATCAAAAGAATTCTTTTTCCAAAGCTGCAAACTACAAAGTCATGTGCTTATTCTAAACATGTGGCTGTTGTTCAGAACCATGAACCTCTGTAAGAACTTTAAGAGAGGTTATTAAATAGACAACAATAAATTTCAATAATTTAACTCATGATTACAGCCTGACTTTGGCAGGACTTCTCAAATTGAGTCTGGCATCTGTCTTTAGATGGGTCTCAAATTCTGCCCATCCCTTGCATGGGCTCTGAGGTGCTACAGCTCTTGCTATGGATTTAACTATCACAAGTGTCTCTGAACTCTGCCACCATCAGCTCCTAACGTGGCACAATGTTCCCTCTTCTGCAAGCCATTTTCTCCTCCCTTTTCTATAGAAAAACACCTTCATCGTCCAAATTTACTTTTTTTCTGACTCTTGGGAAGAGTTGCTCCTTCATCTCTGCTCCAGCAAAAATCATTTTGAACTTCTCCTAAGATATTATCCTGAATATATTTTCTATTGACAATTTTATTGTCGTGTACTCATTTTTATCTCATTGACATGGTAACTAATACAAAATAGCCCCAAAAAACTCATTCATAAATATGATTTACGAATTTACTTCACAAACAAATTCACGAAAGGAAGTAACAAAGAATGGTCATTCATTTTATCTACCAGATGCGATTTTAAAAAGTCATGTCTCTTTCTAAATATATCAAGAAAAGTATCCAACATGCATCTGAGCATGTGTTATAACTCGAGTGCATGAATATTGGATAAAACACGCTCCCTAAGGATGAAAAATAGGCACCTTTGCAAGTTTTTAAGACAATGTTTTGGAAGGCAAAACACAAGGCTTTTAAATCATTTTTTGAGCAGTGGCGACATTGTCAGAATTTTATGATCCTCAAAGGTAACTTATTTTGAGGTCCCGAATGCTCACATGGATATGTACATTTGTGTATGTTCATATATGTGAGTGTGGATATAGTAATATACTTATTTAAAATCAGGCTCGTTACTTTGTAATGGTGATACGTGAGATCAGGTGAGTAAACGTTCTCACTGGCGATATTGCCAAAGAATTAAAAAATAAAATAAATGATGACTTATGAAGGGGTCAACTAAACTATTGCCTGTGAGTGAAATCCAGTCTCTTCTGTGTTTTTGTAAGTGAGCTTTTATTGGATCACAGCCCCATGCACCTGTTTGCCTATTATCCCCGGCTGCTTTCATGCTACAGTGACAGCGTCGGGTCATTACGGCCAAAACCATACGGCCCACTCTGCCAACACTATTTACTATCTGACCTTTGAAGAAAATGTTTGCCAGCTCTAAAGTGCTGTTTTTTTCTTCATGCCTGTGTTCACTTCTAATATGAAATAAAACATTTTCCCTCACTGTTTTTATATTGAAGTGATATTAACAATTATTACAGATTTACCTGACACACTCGCTCATAACCCATCTAAGAATAAAACTGGGAGCTGTATAAAAATAATTCTCAGAGCTTTTGTAAAATTTTAAGTGCGTCCAACAAATGTTATCTTAAACAAATAACACCATAAATACATAACTATATATTACGTAATGAACTTACTGTTTAGTGATGAAAATTCTACATCTGGGTAACATACTTGTGGCTAGTCAGATGTTCGGCAGATATTATGGGTATCTAGCGAATAAAAAATTATTTAATGAATGATCCATGCAAGCAAGCCAACAATCAAGAGATGAAAACATTTTACTATTAAAATTTTAAAGGAAAGTGAAATTCAGCTGTGAGGTGATAGTCCTTATCTGGTCAACATAACAGCAAGTTAATATAAAACTTAAATGGCAAATTAGGAACTAATTTTTAAAAAAATCTTCATGTTAAATACTATTCTATGAATGTTACCAGTTTTTAGGAAGTAAGAGAAGTAAAACTACCAAAAATTCATGCAGAGCAGTGATTGAAAGAAGCCCTTTTTGTTGGCCTACACACACACACGCACGCACCCCTGTGGTTTCAGTTACTTAGTCGTTACCCAGAAATCACAGTAGGACATGTCTCGCCTTATTTTTGTGCAACCATATTTCTAACGTTTTCATTCAAATTAGGGTGTCTAACTTTTTTTTCCAAATCAAAGCTACCAAGTAAGAATTATAAAGCAGTAATTCAAAAGAACTATGAAACTATCAGTTTACTTCAGAATATATTTCTGAATCTGGATGGAACCTTTTACTGTCTTTCAGTGAGCAAGAGAATTAGAGAACCCGAGAGAAAATACAATAACAAACCGATCAAGGTGACTTATTTCAAGAGTCCCCCAAAGTCAAGGCCTTCAAATTGATAGTTTATTTCTTCTCCAACCCCAAATTAATGGCTGCTAACCTAAGGGAGGCAGCATCAAACCTTGAGACCGTCACTGGACTGAGCACAGAGGTTCTGTAACTAGTGATCCAGTTCCTGGCTGTGTGACCTCGAGTAAAACAGCTATTTACTCCGAGCTTAAGTTTCTTCTATAAAATGACTCTAATCCCATTTCAGTAAGGTTTATGGAAGAGTAATGAAATCACCTCTAGGAAGGCATTTTGTGGTTTTAATTCAGACACCCTGGACTAATTCAACACTCGTGCATATTCTAATACAACCCACAGTCTGACGTGTTCTATTAATATGTCCCTATTTTATTTGCAGTTCTCAGCTGACATATTTACACAATTTTACAGCATTGGCAAATGGCACGAAAATGTGCTCCAAGCATAATGAAGCTTCTCATACCATTTTTCCTGCTGCTGCAGGACAGGATGCTGCACCCAACAGTGTAGAAGCATCAAGGATGGGGCTGTCGAAACATACCAAGGACCTTCAACACCAATCGATGCAGATGAAGGGCCAGCTCTATAAACTTCTGCATGCATGCAGGCTGCATTTTGTGGCATCAGCTATTTCCAGCATTGCTAATGTACTGTAGGCATATACATATGTATGTATATGTAGATATAATATATGTGTGTATATATATATCCATTCCCTTTTCTTTCTTGTGGTTGTAAAGTAGTATGAAGACCCAAGATTATGCATGAAATGGTCACAGCACAATGCAAAAAAGTAAAGTGTCCCCTACAACCCAGGTGGCCAAAGGCATGTTGAAATTTGCTTTGTTATAGTTCTCTTACACCAGCAATTCTACAGTCATACGTGGTACACACTGGAGACTTTAGCGTCGTTGATCTGTATTGTACATGCACTGCATTGAATCCGTGATATTTCTACCAAAGATCGCATACTAACATGCCACATATGCACAATCTAGCATTCTTGTAAATGAGTCTGATGTGTTAGCGTAAATCGAGGGCTATTTTGACAAGTTCCTTAAGAGCTAATGACTCTTTGCCAAGGAACGTTTAAAGCCTGCCTGAAACTTTAAAATAAATCCATGTTGGCATTTTGTGTTTGGGAGTTTTAATGGCTGTACTAATAGCTGAAAGCTCTTCCTCAACAGTACACGATATATTATAGAAACAAGGGTGGCTATTCTCTCATAGCAGTAAGTACAAATTCAGACAGCTCCTAATTGGCCTTCTTTTCCCATCTGTTGATTCCCATCTGATACCAGTTCTTCTGAGATGCATTTGGCCACATTGACCCTTAGTCTGTGGGTTATCTGATATGTGGTTTGGCTCTAAATGCTTTTTTGCTCTGTCAACTCTACTGAAATTTGCTTTCATAACAAATATATCTATATATTCAGACCTAACTGATTTTTTCTGGAAAATACTTCTAGATGGAATTAGAAAATGCTGATTGAATCAATGTCAGTTTTTAAATTGTAAATGTTTTAAATATCTGTAGTCATTTAACTTTAAATAGTTTCCTTGTACATTATAGAACTTAAACTTCTGAAACAGATCCCTTTTGCTGAAAAGTACCCTGTAACTGGTATGAAACACAGAATGACTGTTTATCTCCATACTTGATTTCTTTCTGTTTTCTTCACAAATCTCCAATATTTATGCAGGGTTTTTATAAAAGTAAAAGTGCTTATTTATTTATTTGTCTCACTAAATGCACTGAGAATAAAAATAACACAAATAATTTATTTTGAATAAGCAATTTCCTTATCAAAGGAATCAAATGATAATGAATTTGTAACAAACTATTTACAAGAGTGGTCATTTGTGGCATATTATAATACATTTAAATAGTTTGGCTTTCAAAAAGATTTTAGGGAAGAAAAAAGAAATTATATATACACCCATGTTTGGAAGCAACATTAAAATCACTTCCGTTTTTGATTTGTCAAAAGACTCAGACAATCGATTGAGTCCAAATGAGAATTGCTTGTGTAAATATCATTTTAGTAGCTTCAGAAATGGAGCTGCGACAACTTTGGAGCACTTATAAATGGCATAAAAGCATTCTGCTGCTCATCATAGAGAGAATGTGTAGGCCAACAAGAGGTATCTTTGAAACCCCATGCTTATTAGAGCACCCTCGACAGTCCTCACGTACACACGATTCCCACTGACCTCAATGGGAAATCCACGTGCGTAAGGGCTGTTGGACTGAGCCCTATTAGAGTTGGTTTTTAAGAAACAAAGCTGTAAATTAGCAAACCTGGTTGGCTGTGGCTGTTGCAGCGAAGGGAACACTTGTGGCAGATGTTGTTGCTGCGGACACAGTGGCTGGCGTAGCACCGTGCACCATGGGAACTTTCGGAGGGAAAATCATATAAGCAAACATACAGAAGAGTGTAGCAATATGGAAACCATGGCAACATGGAGGAGATAATTGGGCATGGTATTTATCACAGCAATAAGCCATGTGACAGGACATCACCAGCGAGTGACATGCAATCACAGCGCAAAGCAGGACAACATTCCAAGGAGAGAAGGGGAGGGAGGATGAAAGAGAAAAAAAAGGGGAAAAAAAGCTTGTTACCATCAAATCAAGAAAATCGACACAAACAGGCTAAATTTGCTAAGTTTTCAAAAACAAGAATTCTACATAGTGTTCATAGTCACACATTCAAAATCTAAGTTAAAATACAAGTATTTACTTCATATAAACAGTTATTTGTTCGAATGAAATATCTTTATTTACTATTATGAAAACATACAGTATATTACTTTTATGAGATAGATTTTTTTTTTTTTTTTAAACACACCAGAACTCATAGTCCAATCAAAATCCACCGAAGGTGACTAACGGAAACGGTCGTGTGTAAAGAAAACATTTACGGGAGTCCTTGTCAATTAAATAGAAAATGGCATTTAATTGACAGGTGTTAGTAAAAGGGAAATGGACTTGCCCAATAGGTACACGTTAAACGTAGCAGTGGATTTTGAGGGGCTGTGAGGTGCACCACAGGTTTAAGATAATCAAGAAACAAAGCTGGCACCTACCAACACTTGTAGCGGGTGTCATGCACAATATTGAGCCTGCCCATCATGCATTGCAACAGGAAGGTGGATTTGAAAAGGGAAAAGAATTAAAACATCCCATCACACGTGTCATTAGGAAATTCATTTGAACAAAGAAGAAACATTGTTATTATGGCAACAGTGGCATGTAACTGTCAGCACGATCAAATCATACATCAGCACAGTGATCAATTAGAACTAGTCTCAGTGAAGAGGACAAGCTGGTTTAACTGTGTGCTGGTACACTTTGTTTCTCTGAATTGCTGCCCATACACATACAAGTATTCTGGAAATAACGCAAACCCACTTAATTCTTTAAAAAAATAACACTGCAATTTGTTTTGTTTAAATCTGGTTACTAACCGTCTGGCTGCTGCGCTATTATTTCTGACTTTAACTTATGGGTGTATTAACATTTACATTAGATGGAACACATGTTAAATAATGAGAGATGTTACTTATTAGGAAAGCGCTATATAATTCCACACACAACAACTGACTTAACGATAAAATGAAACCCAAACATTAATTTTCATTCCTGGAGTTTTATTTCCCTGTTATTGTAGCAAGAACCATTTGGACATGGGAGGAGTTGTGATCATCTGTACAGGAATTTTACTGGAAGGATACCAAGTAATAAATTATGCATAAAAAATAAATTTCTACATTTTCTTAGTTTTAAATTAAAGATTAGGAAAAGTATTAAGAGGGAAAATAATTTCTTGTAACTCTCCAATTGGTTTAATTGGTGGGTATCTAGGAAAACAGAGTGTTTTTCACCACTGATTTAGATTCTCAAGATTACTTGGAGTAGCAAATGTTCTACAAAATTTCACACACAAGAAATTGCTAATTAGACTTCAATAAAAACCCTGAATGAGAGATAATGAAGATACACACACCACATATGGGGTG